TCTCTCTCTCTCTCTCTCTCTCTCTTTTTGTTATTTTATTTTCTCTTCGTATCCAATCTTTGGACAAATTTTTAATGGGGCCAGGCTTTTATAGCTCGTAGCATGTTCGATTGAAATGGATCTGGTTTTAAAATGGGGCGGGGGGGAAGAGGATATAAAAGGAAAGGATTCGAGCAATGAGATTTTGTTTCGGAGTAGTAATTGGAAACGACAGAGAATTCGCAGCGAATATGAATTTTTCCGATCTCCGTGGTTTTTTTTTTTTTTTTTTTTTTTTTTTTTAAACGATAAATTAGACTCCGCACGACTATGTTCTTTTTTTTTTCTTTTTAACGAAAAGCAATTCCCAGGCGGGTATGAATTTTCATGAAAGTTTTACGAGCATCTTTGAATTTCTCGTTTGTTAACGATAAATTAGGTTATAGGATAGGTGTTATCTATGTTTTTTTAATGAAAAGGAACTTTCGAGCGGGTATGAATTTTCATGGAAGTTTCAACGGCATCTTCGAATTTCTCGACATCCTTTTAATGACAACGTAGGGAATTTTAATTCTTCAGGATGGCGCAGCTCAAGATTGCCAACAACCCTGGATACAAAGTAAATTAATCGAGCAAAATATATATGAAAGTTTTCCCGGTGTAAGATCCCGAATCCTTCGAATTGTAAATTTTCCAAGATAGACAAAAAACTTTTCATTGGAAGAATGAAAATCCGCGCGATCCGCCTAGATTCCAAATCCGTGCGAAAAATTTCACTAGACAGTACGCCATATTGCCAATTCTAACCTCCAAATCATACGAGAGCAACGAGCAAAATGAAGTTCTCGATAAATTTCCAAAGGAGAACGAAAGTTCCAAAGTGAAATAAAAAAATTACAAAGCCGGCGTAATAGTCAAAGTTCTAATTCCCCTGTGAATTCTGAATTTGTCAGAAATTTCACTAGTGCACAAGTTAATTAATAAATGAATGAATAACGAACGAATAAGTCGGCATGAGAGAAGCTCCCCGAAATGAACATTGAGTTAATTAGACGACCGACACACGGATAATGTTGCTGTAGGTTATAATAATTTCAACCACATCGTCGGAGGTTTGAAACGGAAGATGAACACGGGGAACGAGCTGTCGGAATTGTAGAAACGGATTTGCATACGAAACTACGCGGAAACGCGGAGAATGCAAGAGGATCGCCTTGCCCCCTTCCCTCTTTGCAAGCGTGTAGCGCTTCAGAGCGTATGAATTTTTCATCGCGTTTCTTTCGATCGTCTTTGAACAACGTCCGCGGTTCCGGTCTTGAATGCAGCCGAAAACAATATCGATAGGTTGGTTTATTAGCTCTACGTCGAAGATTCTGAAATGCACTCGAATTGCTTCGGGCGATGGCTCTTTGATCCAACTGTCGGAATAAAATTCCACTCTCCCCCTAAGGTATTTTTCGAACGTCTCTTGGTGAAGTTCCCGGTAATGGACTAACGCTAGTCATTTTTTATTTGTTAATTCTCGAGCAGCGCCGTTGGATTGGTAACTTACGTTGCTAAAATTTATGATATTTAATATCGTTTCATTTATTTAGTAAATTTGTCTAGTTATTTTGCTTCGAGTTACTTTTTTCCCTCCCCTCACTCGGACTAGTAACTTGGCCAGAAGAATTTAAAATAATTTAAAATATTTTTAATAATCATACTGAGTAGTTCATACTTAGTAACGATAACAAATTTTATTTTCATATTTTCTCTCGAGGTTCGTAACTTAGCAATTTAAATTATTAAAATTTCGATTATGTAGTTTGTTAAAACTGTAATAGTGTAGATTTTTAAAATGATAATAATCGCTCTTTAGACATTCAATACGTGTTTGCACATTACATATACTCTCGATACCTAATATCAGAAGTCTAATTGTTATTATCGTGGGCCAATCCTTTGTGCGTGTAATTAACGAGATATTTACCCATTAACTGTACCAGCGTCCACGATTAAAACATCCTTCTCAAACGGCATTTAACAATGTTTGCCACAATCAGAGTCAATATCGATTTATGCTTTAATTCATTGATGCAAAATTATACTGCTGGCTAATGTAGTTATGAATTGCGGAATTGCGTACGTTCTTCGCACGTCTCCTCGGAGTTTTGAACATCCAACATATGGAACATCCTGTATGAACATGCTTAGATTCTTCAACTAAATTATATCAATATATACATGTGTAAAATATACTCAGTTTCATATTTTATCAAGTAGGCCCTGCAGTGTCATAAAATATTGAAAAACGCAAAACATGAAACACCCTGTAGGTGCTTCGATTCTTCAACTAAATTATATCAATAAATACATATATATATGTGTAAAATATACTCAATTTCATATTTTATCGAACAGGCCCCGCAGTGTCATAAAATATTGAAAAACGCAAAATATGAAACACCCTGTAGGTGCTTAG